CAAGAGACAATTCCTTCCTCTGCAGGCCTCCCTGCCTCCCTGCTATCTCTAGCTCCCGCCCCTAACACCACCATGACTGTGGTGACTGTTCTCACCTTTGCTGACCTCTTCAGGTTCTTCATCCTCAACTCTCACCCGCTCCCCCCCACCCAGGCCACCCGTGGGCCTTGGCCCTGCCCCCTACCCATGGCTGGCAGACTCGTGGCCCCACCGTTCTGGAAGCCCCTCAGCCCAGGAACCCAGGGGAAGCTGCTGCCCAGGCAACCCTGACCCAGAGGACAGATACTACAATGGTGAGAAGTTCAAATTCCCTCAGGGTGCAACCCCCTCCCCCGAGCCTATTGGGGACAACTGAAGAGCCCCAGTCTTCCTGGGGGGTGGGGGAGCATCTGACAGACCTGACCTTCACCTTATCTTGGCACATAAGGTTTGGGGTTGGGAGGAAGTTGATCCTGTGGAATCTCCCTTTGCCCTCCATTCTCCTGTTGCCCTGTGTTTTTCTGTCTCTGCCCGCTGCCTCTTCCCTTGGGGCTTCCTCTTTCTCCTCCTCAGAAGCTGGAATCTCCCTATACCTGGCCCAGACTGCCCGGGGCACTGCTGCCCCTGGTGAGGGTCCTGTCTACAGCACCATAGACCCAGCAGGGGAGGAGCTGCAGACCTTCCACGGGGGGTTCCCCCAACATTCCTCAGGGGACCCAGGCACCTGGAGCCAGTATGCTCCTCCAGAATGGAGCCAAGGAGATGGTGGTATGACCCCAATTCCTTACACCCAAATTTTAGCCCTCTCCAAATTTTAGTACCCTGCACCCTGACACTCTGGCAACCAGCCCAGCCCTTCCTTCTGATGTGCTGTCTCATCTCTGGCTCTTTCCTATTATCCTCGATGTGCCTCCAACTACTCTCCTCAGGAGCTAGGGGAGGCAAAGTGAAGCTTCTGGGAAAACCTGTGCAGATGCCCTCCCTGAACTGGCCAGAAGCCCTGCCACCACCTCCTCCCTCCTGTGAACTGGGCTGCCCAGAGGGGCCCGAGGAGGAGATGGAGGGCAGGTAAGGATGTTGCCTGCTGCAGGGTCCCATGCACAGACCCCAAGGCCTTCTGGGGTATAGGCACAGAGATGCTGGTAGAGAAAGGGAAGGGGGCAACAGAAAGTCCAAGGGGTAGGATGGGAACTACTTGGTCCTTCCCTTCCCTTCATGCTCTTTGCAACCAGCTCAGAGTCAGAAGAATGGTGCCCACCAATGCCTGCGAGAAGCCATCTGACTGAACTCAGCTCCAGTGGAGGGTGCCTGATGGCTCCATCTCGAGGGAAAACCCCCTCTCCTACGCCCTCCTATGGACAGCAGTCCACAGCCACTCTTACCCCCTCACCGCCTGACCCTCCCCTGCCCCCCAGTGACATTCCCCATCTCCATCAGATGCCCAGGTAGGGAGGTGTGTAGACCTCACATATCACAAGCCCTCTGTACATCCCTGTTCAGTGACTGGTGGGTTGATAGCTGAATCTGGGTTCTGGTGGTCTCAGGATGTGTCAGGGTGGAAGTGTGACATGGGAAGGATGCAGAGGCTGACCAAGTCTCTCACTCCCTTCAGCCTGGCTCTTTGTTGGAGTGAGTGCAAGCAGTCCCAGGCATTTCAAATGTGGCTCTCTTCTAGCTCCCCCAGCTTGGGAGGTGCGACAGTGGGCTAGGTCTTGTCCTTCTGAGTATTAGGCTGATGTCTGTCACAGTGCCTAGCAAGTTTTTAGTTTTTGTGGACTGAACAAATGCAGAGGCCTCATGTCATTGCAGGAGGGCACCCCTTGGGCCAAGTTCCCCTCTCAGTGTCTCCCAGCCCATTCTGAGTAACCACGAAGGGAGGCCTGCTGGCCTGGGTGCTGTCCCCACAACCTCCCGTCACCTCAGCCCCAGTCCCAATCCTAGCACTACCAGCAGTGCCCCAGGTGAGTCTGTAGACCCTCACTTGCCCCTACCTCTCTGTACTCCTCCAGAGCTTGTTTCCCCCTTACCTGAGCCCTTCCCTCACCTGTCCTCTCTCCATCCCCGGATGCTACAGGAAGAAACCTTCAGGTGTCTGGGGAGATGACTCCTCCACTTCAAGGACCCCGTGCCCAAATCCGAAAGAAGCCCAAGGCTCTTCCATGTAGGAGAGAGCACAGTCCTGGGGGTGAGTATCCTTGGGCCTGGGAGATGGGAACAGTCAGGGAGGGAGGGAGTGGTGAGAAACCAGAGATGAGCGCTGGGGGCTGGAGCAGGTGGACCCAGATTGAGGGCCATTCATTTGTAGCCTTCTGGTGTCCGAGGATGTGAGAGGACAATGAGACCCTGCTGATAAACTGATCTCTCCCTAGACTTGCCTCCACCACCCCTGCCACCACCAGAGGACCAGGTGGGGTGGGCCTCAGGGCTGAGAGCAGCAGGAAGCTTGTCCTCCTTGGAGCGGGAACGCAGTGGGGAAAGAAGAGTGCTGCAGGCAGTGCCCCCGGGGGCCCAGCGGAGCCCCCACCAGGATGGTAAGGAGGACCTGGGTGGCCGGAGGGACTGGACGCTGGTCTAGGTGGCACCCAAATCACCCTTCACCTTTAGTTGGGTTCTTACATCTGGCCAGTTCATAGATTCTTGTCTTTCTAGCTGTTTCTGAGCAAATCCAAGACGTGTCCTTTCTCAGGACTGAACCCCAGAACGAGAGAAGAGTGGGGTCTGGGAGCTCTGTCCTCCCTTCCGCAAGGCTCTCTCTGCTTGGGAACTCCCCACATACTTCTGAGCCCTTGTTATGTCAAGGCTGTGTACTGGGCGCTCTGCTTCTCCTCAGCCCAGCACCTGCCCCTCTGTTGTCTCTGAGAGCTGGGATGGCAGTTAGGGTGGGGTATGGATGAGCAGGGATATGCTGCTTCTTCCTGGGCCCAGCTCCCCTTCTCCGTTCTGCTGCAGAAGGGCCCTGGCTCCTGTACGGCAGGCCAAGCTTCCTGTCCCATGGCCAAGGCACCAGCACCTGTTCCACAGCTGGGAGCAACTCTTCCAGGGGCTCTGGCAGCTCTCGGGGCTCTTGGGGCCCTGGACGGATCCGGAGCCGGAGCCGGAGCCGGAGCCAAAGGCCAGGGCAGAAACGTCAAGAGGTGGGAACCAGAGAGCAGAAAGCCAAGGCTAGGGAGGGTGTGCCAATGGGTGACTGAAAACAGGGAGGTAGGAAAGGGCCTGGGGAAGGAGTCAAAAGGAGGAGACTCAGTGAGAGGGGGAAAGGCCTCTAGAAGAAATGACAAGAGGGAAGAGCATAGAGGTGCATGCCTGTAATCCCAGTTACTTGAGAAACTGAAGCAGGAGGACTGCAAGTTTGAGGCCAGCCTGAGCAACTTAGAGAGACCCTGTCCCAAAATAAAAATTTTTTAAAAGGCTGGCGATTTACTCTCTGTGGTAGTAGAGTGCATGCCTAGCATGGGAGTGGCCCTGAGTCTAATCGCCAGTATGGCAAAAAATAAACACATAAATAAACACATAAGAAAAAGGAGGGGACAAGATGACTCCACCTAGAGAGCGGACTGGGTATTCATAGGAGGGTTGGATTAGAAGAAAGGCTGATCTCTTTCTCTGGCCTGTTTATCCTGGCCTAGGGCTTTACAAAACAGCCAGCCTCTCTTTGTCTCTGTCCCCAGGAACCAAGATGACTCTGATGAAGTAATGAGAATATAGAGAGTCCTGGAGGAAGGGTGGGGGCCCCTCCCCTGGTAAAAGAAAGTGTGAACCAAGAGGAGCAGGATGGAGCCCTCCTCCCTCCTGCAGTGATGCTGTGGTTCTCAGAAACCCTTTGGCCTCAGCTTCAGTTGGTTTGGAAGCCAGCAAACCAGCACTTACCTTTGCATCGTGTTCTGATTGAGACCTGTTTGTGTGAGAGACAATAAAGAGGGTCTGATCTAAGCCTTGGACCATCTGTCTGTTTTGCGAGCTATGTTGGGAAGAAGCGGGTATTGGGGTCTGTAGGTCAGTGCACACTAGTAGATTCTGTGTCTTCTTGAACTTCTGTCAAAAGTGCTAGGCGAAGACAAACACTAGAGGACACGGACTTGTTCTGCCTCCTAAAGAGCTGAAACCCAGTCCCGATATAATCACAGGGACTTTCCAAAGAGGCAGTGAGCAGACACCTGCTTCACCTTCAGAGGAAAAAGCCAGGCCCTTCTTTAGCACCTACCTCTGGGGCAGCCTGCTCTTTTGTAAGGGAACATGGTCATCACAATAAAAGTAAGTTTTTAAAACCCCAAGAAAGGAGGGGAAAATGCCAGGCAAGAAGAAAATGCATGTTTTGCATGTCCGGGACTCCTTCATGGAGGATGTCTGCAAACAGGCACCTCTTGACCAGTTTGGGCCCAAAGGTGATTAATTTAGCTGATAAAAATATAAAATCTATTTGGCCACAAGGCCACAGTCCCCATCACTCGCACACCACAGCCTACTCATTGGGTGCCTGCGGAACTGTTGCCTTTTCCCTTGCTCCAGCTTTGGCTCAGTGACTGCCTTGGACCTTGGAGCATGGCTTCTGCCCTCTGCACCCTCCAGGTTGACCGAAATGTGTGCAAATCCCTCTTTCTCTTTCAGGCTGAAAAACAGGGTTAGAATGTTTACAAAAGGAATTTTACCAGGAAGCCAAAAGAAAAAAAATCCCCAAAAGGTAAAGCAGATAGAATGGATGAGTACCTGAAACACTGATTCTTCCTATGATTATGAAAATCCAGCCCAGACTGCCTGATGAACACAGGGCACCCAGGCCACTGTCTCACACACTTGGCTTCCGAACTCCGAGTGGAACTGCTGGGATTGGAGGACTAGTACCTCCTTGCAGGGCCTGCTTCTGGATCACTCCCCTCCCACAGGTAGCTTCCTGTGGCCCTAGTCATGCTCTGCAGCAGCCCCCACCTCAACCTATAGATTCAACCCCTGACCTTTCCTGCCATGCATGAACACAGGCCGATCTACCTGCCTTTAGCTTTCAGTGGCTCACACCCACATTCATCTCTCTGCTCCTGTGTTTATTGAAAGAGTATTCACTAGCCAGCCATCATGGTTCTACCTTTTTGGAATTTAGCTTTGTCTATTTTTAAGAAACTGTCTGGGACTTGTCTTTGAGGAGAGGGTCTAGGACTGCAGAAAGAAGCATTGTCTTCTCAGAATAAGTTCCCAGGGTCAGCAGGCCCTGAAACTCTTCCACCACTTCCTTTAGTAGATTCTGCTTAAAATCTTGTGGATGCATCTCATGCCCTCTGCAACTGAGGAGCAGAAAAGAGGGGGACTCTCCAAATGTCAATGAATGCTTGATCCCTTCCTAACAGGTATCTCTTGCCATCCAGGTACTTTCCCCAAAATGATGCCCCAGGAAATGATCTCACAAAGCTCATCTTTGTAGTTTTATAGCATCGAATTCGAGAAGCTCAAAGTGATAACAGGATGAAGAGGGTACTGTTGTCTCACATTTTCACACCTCTCTTTCTTCAGCTTCCTCCCTAGACCCAGCCTTGAGCTCTTGGCCTTGGCACTAGGTAGCGCCTCAGTGACTCCTCTTTCTTTTCTTTATTTTGTTTGTTTTTTGGTACTGGGGATCAAACTCAGGACCTTGCACTTTTGAGGCAGGTACCAGAACCACTGAGCTAAATCCCAGCTCTCCTCTTTATTTTCTTTACATGATGGGCCTGGGGAGAGGGTTGCATTGGCCCCTAGAGAGGGAGGCCAGGTAGGGCTGAAAGAGGAGGCTCTCTTCTTCCACAGCCCTCTCTGACCAGCCGCTTCTGTCCTCTGTCGAGATCTCTCTGGCTCCTTAATTCCCATGATCCTTGAGGGTGGGGAGAGCAGGAGACAGAACTCCTTAGGCCAAAGGCCCAGGCTGTGGGAGTGGCTATGAGGAGAGAGAATCCTGGGGTTGGGTAGAGGTGATGTTTTGTTTTCAGAAGGCTCCAGGTCTGCTTTGCTTGCTCTTTTCTTTTCTTTCTTTCTTTAGCAGTCTTGGTGGGAGAACTCTCCTGGAGGCAGAGAAGCATAGGCCACAGGCCAGGCCTGTGAGCAGACAGGAAGGGGGACCCTGATGTCCTTCTGGCTATCTCAGGGACTCAGCTCAGGAGGAATCTGTAGTAGGAGTTGAAGGAGAGCACAGTTATCTCCCTTGATCCTACCTCTCCTGCCAGATCCCAGGCTTCCTCTTGGCTCCTCCCCAAGACTCCTCATGTGAAGATCACTATGTTAGCCAGACAGCCAGACACTCACCCCCAGCCTTGGTCACAGGACAGCTGAGCCGACTTCGCTGGAAAGAGATCCCAGAGTCAGGGGTCCAAGGAGGCAGCCCCCTTCCTGGCTGCTGGGTGTGATTGATCTCTATGTCCTCCAACCAGTCTGGCCTCCACTCCCATAGGGGCAGGGAAAGGGTGGGTGTCAGGAAGAGGTCATCCCGTGGGGAGGGAGGTGATGAGGCATCTGACAGGAAGAGTAGAGGTGTCTGTGGGGGTTGACCTTTAGCCTCTAGGGGCCAGTTTAGGGCAGAAAGCTTAGGGCCAGCTTAGGGTATATACCCAGCTCTAACACAACCTAGCCCCAACTCAGCCCATCAGTCTCAGTGGCTGCAGACCAGGGCTCAGTCTATTGGTTTCTTCCCTTCCCTTCCCTTCCCCTTCCCTTCTCTTCCTTTTCTCCCCTTCTCCTTCTCTTTCTTTTTCTTCATCCTCCTCCTCCCATTTCTTCCCTCCCTCCATCCCTCCCTCCCTCTTTTGACGTTAGAAATTAAACCTAGGGCTTTCACCAAGCTACTTCAGCAGACCTCTTTTTATTTATTTTTTTGAGACAGGGTCTCACTAAGTTGCCCAGGCTGGTCTCAAACTTGAAATCCTCCTGGCTCAGCCTCCCAGAATCCTGAGATTACAGATGTGTGCTGCCCAGCTCATCATTTCCTTTAGAGAACAGCTTGGGCTATTTGCTCGAGTCCAAATTTTCCTTTCACTCTCTCATTCCCAACACATCCTCTCCTGCCTCCATCAGGAGCACTTCTGTCTGGGTCATCTTTGCCCTCTCATTTGAGGCCTAGTATTTTTCTTGAGGCTGAAGGGTAGAGTTAGTAAGATGGGCTTGGGGTATCTGACAGGGCGTATGGGGCAGGGAACACAAAGGAGCTGGTGAGTCCTGAGCTACCTCTGCTGACATGCAAACAGCAGGCTCACTCTGCTAGACATGTGGAAGCCAAGCCTAGCTGCTCCTCAGTCCTACCTTGGGTAGGACAGCAGGAGGGACATGGATGCACAGTAGGATGAGGACGCATATGAAACACAGAGGAAGAGGAAAGGCAATGGACTGACTTTTCCTGGGAACCATGTTCGGTTAGGGTGGAGCCCTGGAGGCAGGAGAATGAACAGAATGGCAGGAGTTGGTGCCTACAGGCTAGAAGTGGACAATTGCTCCTTGTTCTGGGGGTGATCTTGGGCAAACTAAGGAGTTTATCTGACTTATAATTTCCTGATTTGAAAAAGAGTGGCAAAGGATATTCCTTATGACTGGGGAAAGACAGCCTCTTTAATAAATGGTGCTGGGAAAACTGGCTATCCACATGGAGAAGACTGAATCTAGACCCATATCTTAACTATTACATGGTTTCTCCTATGTGAGAAACCCAGAGTAAAAATAAAGAGCAAAATAATAGATAATAGGAAGTAGGGAGATAGATCTTTCTGAAAGGGCAAGGGGATTAAGAGATGGAGGGGAGGAGGGAAAGGAGGGAAAGGATGAGGGATGGAAAAAGGAACTGGGATGTGTCATGCACGCGAAGCAGCTCCACACAAGGAATGTAAAGGTTATGTACTGCTGACATGTAAAAAAAAAAGAAGAAAAGGCATCAAGGGATGAGTGGAGGGACAGAGGGAAGGGAAAAGTGATGAAAAAAGGAATTAAGATGTGTTATGTGCTATACCAACTTCCCACAAGGAATGTACACATGATATACTACACACATGTACCAATAAAGTAAAATTTTTAAAAACTGAAAAGGATTTTTAAAAAAGACTATTGCTCTTGGAGTTGTTGATATGATGCATATAAAGCAGTTCTCCTGGCCAGGTGTGGTAGGCCATGCCTGTAATCCCAAGGCTCAAGAGACTGAGGCAGGAGGATCACTGCGACTTGAGTTCAAGGCCAGGATGAACTACATAGTGAAATCCTTCCTCAAGGGTCAGGGATTTGGCTCAGTGGTGCTGCACTTGCCTGGCAAGTGCAAGGTCATGAGTTTGATCCCCAGTACTGGAAAAAAAAAATCAGTTCTCCTACTTCTTTTTGTTTGTTTGTTTTGGTTTTGGTTCCAAGAATTGAACCCAGTGCCTTCTGCTTACCAGGCAGATCCTGCACTGTGATCTACATCCTGGGCCCCAATTCTCCTACTTCTTAAGACACAGCAATCCCTCAACAAAAGCTAGCTATTTTAATGAGGACAAGGCTGGCCCTCAGGAAACCTTGCCTCTTGCTAGGGAGAAGGGAGGTCTTCCGGGAGCTGTGTCCACCCTAAGGACAGGTGAGGAGTAAGACAGGGGATCTCACATACCAGTGAACACGAAGTCGGCCTCCCGGGGCTCCAGACCCAAGCCAAAGCTATCCACAGCTACAGCCAGGGCACGGGCAAAGTGGGCATCCGCGAGGAAAGAGCCATCAGAAGAGCTGACCAGGCTGGCTCTGGCACTGGGGGCATTGTCCTCAGAGGCTGAGCCCCAACCATTGGCCAGGGAGCCCTCGCTGGGGGTGGGGGTGGGGCAGGGTCGAGGTGGGCACAACAAGCCCCCCACTTCAGATGCCACCCCTCCTTCAGCCCTGCCCATGTCTGCCAGCTCTGAGGCTGTCGGGATGCTGATGTACCCATAAGTTGTAGGGGGCGAAGGCGCCCTGGGCATAGGAGAGATGCTGTTCCTAGGCAGAGAGAGATGGGTGCAAGGGTTAGGGCAGAGTAGCAGAAATGTGCCAACTGCATTCTCCTGAAGCTCTCTGTCGACCTCTCAGGCACTCACCTGGGGGTCTCCTCACCCTCACTGAGTTCCAGGCACAGGGCAACCTCCTCAGGGGTCAGCACACTGTCCTGATCTTCCCCCAGGGATGACAGTGAAGAGCTAGACAGGCGGCTGGAAGCTGCGCTGGGACCAGAGAGGGACGAGGTCTGGGGGCTGGGGGCCCTGGAGGGGCTAAGGACAGGGAGAGGGGCAGAAGATTGGGGTTTCGATGGGTGCCTGGTTGAGGCCAGGGAGGGGCAGCAGGAGGGTTAGTACAGTCCCTCAGGTCTTGGTCCACCCCTTCCCAGCCTCTGCCCAGCCCCAGCACACACGCCCCACCTCGTCCCCTCTTACTGTGTCTGTGGACTCTGAGTGAGGGTTCTTCCAGGAGAGAGAGGGACTGGTGGGAGAGGGCGAGTTGCTAGCACATTGGAGTTTTGGAGGAGCTGTGGTCCCAGGGCCCGCCAGGCCACCAGAGCCCCGGGCACTGCTCCTGGGGAACAGGAGCCTGGGCCTGAGAATGGCAGAATCTCTTTCAGAGCAGACCTCAGCCAACTGCCCCCCCCCACTGTCTCCCCACCAGCTCACTCAGCCTCTGTGGGGACACAGGAGAAGCCTGGCATAGAGGCCTGGGTCACAGCAGCCTCCCCACCCTTCCCTCTACTCTCCAGGCCTCCTCTCACCTGGGCTTTGGGAAAGGTTCTTGGAGCCTCTGTGTCCTAATTCCCAGCCCCAGAGCTCCAAGGAGTGGCTGCCCCGGAGCAGGGGAGAGCTGTTGGCTTGGTGCAGTTCTGTAAAAGAGAGAGCTGGTGGTAGGGGACAAGCCAGAGTGAACCTTTCAGACCCCAACCATAGGCTCCATCTTCAGCCTTGTTATTCATTGCACCCTGTGGGACTTTGAACCCAGAACAGAAGTGGAAGAACCTCCACCAATCCCCTCCACCTGCATCCTCATCCAGGCAGCTGTGATAGAGTGGAAGGTGCACTGGGCTTAGAGTCAAAAGCCCTTTTCAGCTGTGTAACCTCAGAGAGGCCAAATAACCTTGCCGATCCTCAGGTTCATTTTGTGAACAACCACTTCAAATGATGGTTTTAAGGATTAGATAAAAATATCACAAAGTGCCTGGCAAATAATAGATACTTTAAAGACAACTTTCTTTTTCTTCACTGTGCTGTATTCCATTCCAATCTTCCTGATCTCTATGCCTTCACAGTGATACTCTCCTCAGGATTTATGGCTGTCAGAGGGCAAACACTCCTTTTCTTGGAAAGAATGTGTTAATAATTTCCTTATCTTGCATTGCAAATATCTCACATGGTTCTGGACAGCCCTGCCCTGAGAAACCTGAATGTCTTTCAGTTGGGAAAGTAAGTTGGACTGTCAAATTGAATGAGGAAGACAAAAATAGTAAGGCACAGACCATACAACATGAGACCAGAGGGAGTCGATTGACAAGAAGAGGAACTTCAGAAGAGGAGAATGTATTCGTCTCACCTAGGGAGGCAAGGCCCTGCCCAGAGTTATTCAGTAATGTTTGGAGTCCATGTACCAGTGATCACGTACTCATGATCCAGTGGGATGAAAACCCACACAAAGGCTAGACTTCCTCCATTAAAGTTTCCCTTTCTACTTAGGCTCTTTTTATTTGTATTTTTTAGTTCTCATGTGACTTAGGGAGTCCTGGAGACCAGCTTCAAGGCTGGTGACCTAACTCTGCTGTCATCAGCTTTCTATTGTCTAGTGCTTAGCTACCTGACTAAGCAATAAAATGTGACCATATGTTGGCTGGTTGGCATGAGTGGAAATGAAAGGGGAAAATCCAGGCTTGGAAAAGACCGTATTTATCCCAGCCCATTTCATTTCCTACAAGGGACTTTGGCAACAAAAGGCCTCCTTCCACCTTGCCTGGAGTCACTTGAGTTTTAGCTTCAGTGCTTCTTGAATGAACTGTACAATAAAAATGTTATCAAGGTCAAAGGTTGACTCTCATTGGACATATCTGAGTTGCTCTAAATATATTTGGAATGGAATAATGAATGAATGATGCTATTTAGTGCACATATCTAGCAAAAAGGGCCTAAGAATCTCATATAATGGATCAGAGATAGAAGAGTACAGTTTTAAGAATATCATTAGTGAAGGGAAAAATCCCAAATAAGGTCAAATAATAATTGTTTTTAAAAAGCAAATCAAAGGGAGCAGAGGCTCTGAGAAAGAATGCCAGTTTTAGAAGTAGAAGAAATGCCACCCTTTTGGACTAGGCAACAGCAGTAAAATCAGCCCCATCTCTTTGGACAAGGTCACAGTATGATCTTGTTGCTGCTGCTGAGGTGCTGGGAGCCAGAGGTGGAAGATCAAGTGGTTCCCAGCCAAGGGAGTGACTACAGTTGATCCATCCTGGGGTAGTGGGGAAATGGGGCTGGCTTGAGGAGAAAGAGGGTGAAGGGAGGACCTAAGCCTTATTTCAGAATTGGAATGTCTTGAGAATTGGCTAGAGAGCTGGGGTGCAGCTTCACAGTACAGCATGAGGCCTTGGGTATACTCCCCAGCATGAAGGAGAAACAGGGAGAGGAAGAAGAGGAGGAGGAAGAGGAGGAGGGGGACGAGAAGGAAAATGGGGATTGGAAGGGGAAAGGGAAAGGGTAGGGAAAAGGAAGAGGAGGAGGTAAAGAAAAGGAAGGAGCCTGTCTAAAGTGCAAGGTCCAGAGTTCAATCCCCAGTACCCCCCCCCCCAAAAAAAAGAGGAAGGAGAAGGAGGAAGAGTGAAGAGAGGATTGGCTGTAGAGAATCACTCACCTAATATTCTAAGAGGAGCTATATGTTACAGTAAGGCCATTTAAATGAGACTTGTTCCACCTCTTTGTTTGTTTGTTTGTTTGTTTGTTTGAAACAGGGTCTCACTATGTAGCTCAGGCTGGCCTTGAACTCATGGCAATCCTCCTGCCTCAGCTTCCTGAATACAGGGATTACAGGGATTACGGGCATGCGCCATCACACTCAACTCTTCATTCCACCTTTTTTTTTTTTTTTTTTGGTACCGGGGATCGAACTCGGGTCTTTGCACTTGCGTAGCACGCGGTGAAACCACTGAGCTAAATCTCTGGCCCATTCCACCTCTTTTTATTTGGTGTTTCATTACTATCCGGGATTTATAATGCAGTAACTCTAAGGCAGAACTAGAAAGAATGTCAGCTTTGCTAGTATTTAGAGTCATAAAATTCTGGCTATTGAACAAGCTTTTAATTACTTTTAACCCATCTTTGTTTTAATAAATTTGGATTGTATGCACTTAAAAAAATTGGCCGTAGAATATTTGCTAGATCTTGCTAATCAGTACAGAAGGCTCATGAAAACAGCAAGAGGAGAGCAGGACTGTGTTCTGTGGGCCAGAAATAAGAAGCAGCAGCCCAGGACAGAAGTGCATTTCCTCAGGGAGCTTCAGGGGTATTCAGAGCAGCCTTCAGAAGCAGAGGCTCCCCGCTTCCCAGCTGTGCTCTGCAGCTTTTTGCTTGTGGGATTTTGACTAAGTTACTCAGCCATTCTGACCCTCTTTCTCTATCTGTAAAATTAGACAAATACTCTAATATCTAAAAGATCTATGGAGAGGATTAAAAATAATAATAAAGCACTAAACAGATAAGAAGTTGTTACCTAAAGACTATAGTTATTCCTTTCTGGAAAGTCAAAACAGGCAGCTGGCTTCCCTCTTTACCAGTCAGGAAAGAAATCTGCCCAGAATGGAAATACAATTTCCCCTTGGTATCATGGGAGATTGGTTCTGGGACCCCCCACAGATAAAAACACTCAAGGAGGTTTAAATCTCTTATATAAAGTGGCATCATATTTGCAGATAACCTTCGTACATCCTTCTGTACACTTTAAATCACCTCTAGATTACTTATAATATCTAATTCAATGTAAATCGTTATTGTTTAGGGAATAACGACAAAGAAAAAGTGTACACATGTTTGGTACAGATGCAATTATTCCAAATATCTTCAATTCAGGGATGGTTGAGTCTGAATGTGGAAGCTGTGGATGTGGAGGGCAGACTGTGCCTCTTCCTCCCCGGCAAGTGCGCCAGGTATCAGAGCCCAGCAGACATGCACAGGAGATGAGAAAGCCAGGCTTCCTGCCAGCCCTGGCCATGTTCTGCTGGGCTTCAACATTACTTTGTGCTGGGCACACTTTCATCAGATGGGGAGCCTGCAGAGAGCAAGGGCTGTGCCTGTATCTCCTGCACCCCCATGTCTGCCATGAGGTGGTGCTTCTTCAATGTTCACGAGTTGAACTTGCTACAAAAATGGCCCACTGCTGTAAAGACAAGCCAAGGTGAGCACACTCCTGATGAGTGCTCTGGGTGTGGGAAACAAGGCCCAGTGTCTTCTGAGAAAGGAGAAGGGGTGCTATGGGGGCTGCAGCCACACCCTGTTTGGGCCTTGAGGCCAGCAGGCTTAGTTCCTACCACATTCCCACTCTTGATCCCTCCCACCACGAGCCTCTCCCTACCTTGCTTCTTCTTGGCCTTCCAAGCCTCTGCAGGGGTCAGAGACACTCGAGGAGAGGCCAGGCCCCTGAGGCTGCAGAGACTATCTGAGCTGGGCCAGGGGCTGGAGGTCCGGACCAACTGGGGAGGGAGGCACCTGGCAACTGGGGTCTGGGGGCTTGGCCGGGCTGGGGGGCTGGAGGGCAGCTCAGCGATGAGGGAGCCATAAAAAGTGCTGGTGTCTGGAAGCAGGGGCACTCCGGGGCTTCGGGGGTCCCAGGAGATCACTGAAATAAAAAGGACAGGATTTACGGTGAACATGTCACACCCCACCTCCCTGAGCTCCATCCTGGGATCCCTGTCCCCAAAGAGTGTGCTCACAGGAGCGCCGGCAGTCTAGTGGGTCCCGGGGGTCCACTCCCAGCCGGCTGCTGAGGCTGCTGCTGCTGCTGAGGTCCCGAGAGCCAGAGGTGGATCGCCAAGTGTCTGCCAGCCAGGGCGAGTCACTGTGGTCCATCCTGGGGCAGTGGGAGGGCAGAGGGGAGGGGGAGAAGAACAGCACAATGTGGCAACCTAACTGGGCAAGACTTCCAGCTCAGAAGATGACAGAGGAGCTGAGGACGGTAGTGTCAGCTACTTTTTAGCCCTTCACAGACTCTTGAAGATCTCTGACCTCATGCCCCAAACTCAACACCCTTTTCTGTCCTGGGATCAGGGAAAGTCCAAGTTGCCTAGAGCTAGGAGATATTAAAGAGAAATAACTGATGGTGAGGTGAAAAGAACAGATCTGGAGCCAGGAAAACCTTCTTTGAAAATTCCTATCTGCCGCAGCTTGTGCTGTGACCCCAGACAAGTAAATCTATTTGCCTCTCTCAGTCCCTGTTTCTTCATCTGTAAAATGGCAACAAGACAATTCACATACAGCTGATGCTGTAAATTTAAATAAGGAAATGTGAGATCACTTAGCTGGTGGAGCAGGAGCTTGCTACATGGCTGTCAGCTTCCAGCTGCCTGAGAACAGAGATCTAACTAATGTACTTCTCTGCTTAGAACCTTCAGTAACTCCCTATTTACCAATACAGAGTCCAGGTGCCCAGCTTGGCTGACAGAGCCTTCTTTAATCTGTCTTCTAGCTCCCTACCTTATCCTTTACTATGACCAATCTCATACCTCATGGCCAAGCCAGATCAAATGGCTCATCTTTCCCTGCCGACACAGAAGGCTATTTCTTGCTATTACCATCTGCTCTTCTCCTTCTTACTGTCAAGGTAAACACAGAATCTTATTTCTCCTATGCTTCTCCCCAGCCCCTTCCACATATCTTGCACATGGTTCTATGCTGCCAGTGCAAGGTTGCTCTCATGTCATTCTCTGCCTAGACTGAAAGTCCCTGGTGGATGGAGACAACTACCAAAAAATGAATGAGCCAAAGCATCATAATAGAGTCTCCCTCAAGGACAGAGTGAGGATCTTGGGGGAAAACAGAAAAAGTTTAAGGCAGAGCAGACAAAGCCCAGGAGGTGACTGGAAGAGAGAAGCTGATGAGCACAGAAAAAGAAACAGTGTCAGCCAGCTTGGAACCTTGGAACCTTGCTGAAGACTAAGCATGTGATGGCAAAATGGCAGCCCAGGGCCTGGCTACATCTAACCCGCAGCAGGTGCTCAATAAACTTTTGTTGAACAAGGCACACCCAGAGAGAAGAAACAGCTGATTTTTGTAGTACTGGAGGTTGAACCCAGGGATTTTGCACTCATCTATATTCCCAGACCTTTTTATTTTTTATTGTGAGATGGGGTCTTGTTAAGTCTCCAAGTTGGCCTTGAACTTGTGTTACTCCTGCCTCAGTCTCCTAAAGTGCTGGGATTACAGGCTTGTGCCACTATGCCTGGCTTGAAATGACCTTTTAGTGTAAATCCCAGCCATTCAGAAAAACAGAGAATGTATTATTGTATTATTTCTTAGTATCTTATCTCACAAACCCAGACTGGCTCTGGCAGCCAAACAATTGAAGCAGTAGTACCTATAGGCTGGCTGTTTTGAAAGAGTAGGAATCTGTAATTAGGGACGGGATACAGCCTACTGGAAGTGTGGGTAGGTCATGGCAATTCACACACCCCAAAGGCACTAGGAAGACTCTGGGTACAGAGGAAAAACTAGGCATTGAGGGGATCACCTCCTACTAGTTACTCTCCCCCTCACAGAGTGAGTAAGGCAGCAGGAGAGTGCACTGTATGTTGCTGAAAGGTGAGAGAAAAGAACACTGGACCAGAGCAGTTGGGAAGGCCATCTGCTAACTGTGAACCCTTGTCAAAGTCACTTAAGTTTTGTGACTCAGTCTGCTCAGGTGTCAAGTGGTGCAGCAGAACATTAGTGAAAGAGAAATTAACTGTAACTTGGAGTCCTAGAGTCCTAGGATCTCAAACTGCCTGGTAGTAGGATAGACTCGCACTTCAATTCCTGGCTCCACCTCCACTGTCTCTTGACTCCTGTACCCCCACAGAGCCCTCCCCTCTCCCCTCTCACCTGTGTTTTAGGATGGCGTCCTCACTGGTGTATCTGTACAGACCTGGGAGAAGGCAGGAAGAGGGCTAAATGCAGAGGTACCATCACCTGCCCAGAGGTCTAATCCCTCTGCAGCATTCTAGCTGGACCCAGGGGAGATCTGAACACATGGGACCTCCCCTCTCACCTGGGCCCATGTGCACCCTGGCTTGGCGCCGGCGGTAGATACACACAGCAATGCCCAGTAGCAATAGCCAGAGCAGGACACCTCCACTGGCGATGACCTCTGGTCTCTTCAAGGTGGCCCTCAGTCGCTCTAGAGTCCAGGGACCGAGCTCACTGAGTTCTCGGGCTGATCGCTCCATGGCCTGCTCTGTATAGAATGTGGAGCTCAGGGGAGTGCAGGTGAGGCAGTGAGAGTCTGGCAGACAAGAGGGTGGGGCTAAAGTACGAGGCAGGAATAGGGAGGGAAGAGGGTGGTCTGAGGGCTGAAGGGTGGGACCCGTGGGTACTGCCCTCACCTAAAAGGAGGCAGACAGGGCTACTGGGTTCGCCAGCCCCAGCCCCAGTGACTGCAGCCACTTGCACACAGTAGGAGCCTGACATTCGGATGCCGATCTCCAGCTGGGTCTGCACACCCACGACGGTGCAGTTGACTGGAGGCGATGAGGCATTGCCTAGGCTCCAGACCTGGGACACAAGCAAAGGTGAGCAGCTGAGCCCTTCATCTACAGATCAGATTCTAGGCACCTGATCCTCTGCCCTGTCATTCACCTGGGGACCTCCTCCCAGTGCTCCACAGCTCCTATTCCGGCTTTTCTACCAAGTGAGAGGGACTTCTCTCCAGAAAAGGGCGAAAGTACTCTATTAAAATACACCTAAGACCAGTGATTCTCTAACCTCAGCATGCTTCAGAATCACCTGGACCCTTTCTAAACCACAGGTGGCCAAGCTCATTCATGAGTTTCTGATTCAGGGGGCTGAGAAAGGGCCTGAGAATCTGCATTCCTAACAGCTCCTAGTTGATGCTGATGTTAGCAGTCCAGGAGCCACACTTTAAGCACCACTGCCTTGAAGGCTTAGAGTCTGACACTGCCTAGTAGATTGCTGTTCCATTTCTTGTATCTATGGCCCTAGCCTCACTTTCCATGTATAAATGGGGATCATAACCCAGGGTGGATTGTGAGATGAGACAATGGAGGTAAAGTGGTTGGCAGGTCTGGCAGACAGTGGACCCTTGCTTAACAACGGTAAGGTCCCTTTGCTTTTTCTGCACAGCTTCTTTTCTCAGTGGCCAGAGTGAGGGTGTGGAGAACCATAGAGTTGAAGGGTATTCTGGTGGACTAGGAAAGACTAGGAAAGGCTGCATCCACTTTGGGAGTACCTGGTAGCCACGGATGATGCCATTGTGGTTTTCAGCAGGTGGTGGGACCCAGCTCACAAGGATGCTGCTGTTGTCATGTTTTAGGGTCACTTCCTGGGGTGGCGCACTGGGTACTGAAGGGAAGGAAGAGAGGCTATAAGGGGTGCTGATCTCTCGGGACTCTTCTAGGGAAAAGAGCTGGAATGGGGGATACAGAGTCAGAGCCCTACTCAGAAGAATAGCACCTTCTTCAGTTCTGCTTGCCTGACCAAGGAAAAAGGAACACTGTCATCTCTCCCAGACTAGAGTGGGGCAGTCCCAGGGTCCCTACTTAAGAAGGCCCCCAGTGGGGGAATATTGTTGGGTCCTGGGAGGATTCTTCTCTGACCTTGTTCTGGCAACTTGAGGAGCAACACATTGCTGTCAGGGCCTCGAGCCCGGCCAGAGGATGGTCTCACTTTGAACTCGTAGCCTTGGCCCCAGTGGAGTCCCCTGAGCTCTGCACTCTGCCAGCCATCCAGCAGCACCTCTGTCCATGGAGCTCTCTGGCCTCCCTGGGCTGTCTGGGCCCTGAACAAGGCTGTGTAGGACTGAGCAGGTGCAGCAGGGCCACTTACCTGGGAAGGAGCCGGAGGAAGAGAGGGGGTCAGGAGCACACAACAGCCCTCTTTTGAGCTTTGGATCAGCTGTCACCCCTAGCCCTTACCTTCCAGCTGAGCCACACAGCTGGCCCAGCCTTGGGGCCCTTCTTGGGGTCTGGGTTCAGCAGGGTCACATTTTCTAGCTGAATTTGCACAGCCAGAAGCTCCAGAGGCTCCTTGTGGTCTTGGGACTCTGTGGGAAACACAGGAATGGGTTGGGGCCTGCAGGCCAGTGTGAAGGGTTGGAGGAGTGGACCATTTCCTAGCCATAGATGAATCTAACCTCCCAGAGTTCCCAAGTCCAGAGCACTCCCATTTTACTTCTAGTATATAGGTGGGGTCCCCATCACTCAGACCCTTATCCCAGGCTGAGCCCCACATATCCTAATCCCAGCCCAAATCTGTGCATCCCACCCTAAGTGGAGCCTCCTACCTTGCCCTGGACTTTAGCTGCCGTCTTGCTCTTACCCTGTATATATACCCTGGCTGCTCGACTTTCCCGTTGTCCTGCAACGTTGTTGGCTGCACACATATAGATCCCTGTGTCACTCATCTCTGCTCTTGACACCAGCAAGGAACCACTGGAAACCTGAGAGGGCCAGGTACATTGTGATGTCTTCATGGGAGGAGAGGCTCTGGGCTGGAGGATGGCTGGAGGCCTCAGTGCCTTCCCTGCTTCAAATTCTGCCAGGGGACACTGGGCTGGCAAGCAGGCCAGTCCTCAGGGTGTGGCCACATGTGCTCAGGACGGGATGAAGTGTGGGAAAGGGCCTCCACTCACCATGAGCCGCCCTTGTTGGAGGTCCAGGGGTTTCCCATCTTTCCACCATGAGACTGTGGGTTCTGGGTAGCCCCAGGGAGGCCCACACTCCAGAATCACCTGCTCACCCACCATGGCCACTGTGTCTTGGGGCTGGATTTGGAAATCCTCCCGGAGGACTGTGGGACAGATGGTAGGTCACCAGGGAGGGGGTCCTGGCCTCCTTTTTCCAGAATCCTGCCTTGACATCTCCACTCCATTCTGTTTGCCCACCTCCCAGGCCTTCCCCGTAGAGCAGGCCCAACCCAGCTCTCCTCCCAAGTGCCCCAGCCCAAGCTTTTCCCCACAGATTCCCCCTCACACATCCCTCAACATAGCCATCTCAGCCTAGGCTTAGCCCACCCTGTGCCTCCCTTCCTAGGCCTTACCAGCCACAGACAGACGAGCACCCCTACTGACTGCTGTGCCCATCTGGTTGCTGGCCTCACAGGTATAGATGCCGAGAATTTTGGACAGGACCTGGTCATCATGGGCTTTTCCCTGCGTGGGGGGCCGCAGCAGGAGGAGGGTTCCATCGGAGAAGAGGTGGTATAGGTCTACATCTATGTTTAGGGGCTGCCCATTCAGCAGCCAGCGGATGGTGGGGGGTGGCTGGCCTGATGCTTTGCAGCTCATCTTGGCTGAGCCGGAGCCCTGGAGCAGCTGATCCTGGGGGTGAACTAAGATCTGGGGTGGGGACTCCTGAGCCATGCTTCCTGGGGGGGGAAAGGAAAACAAAGCCCGGACTAACTACCGACAATGCCCCATATCCCCATACATCAACTCCCCTCTCTCCTGTGAAGGAGACTGCCTGAGGACCATTGCTACTGAAGGTCGACTCCCAAATAACAAAAGCTCAGTCCTTGGAAAGGAGAGCGCTAGTATCGCATCCAGGCCAGGGCTTGGATAGCTGTCTCTCTGTCTGTCTGTCTGTCTGTCTCTCTCTCTCTCACACACACACACACACACACACTATCGTCATCATTGTCATCATCATCATCATCATCCATCATCTCTGGTATTCCTACAGCAAAAAGGAAGCAAAAGAGAGAGGGAATCTCTTCTATCCTGGGCAAGCCTTGGGTCATGGAGTGTGGGCTAGGAAAGGGAGCACTCCACTTACCCATGGCAAACAGAAGCAGGAGAGGCAGGGGCCACCTGGCCCCAAGGAGGCCCCCTCCTTCAGGGCCCATGGCTGCTTCAGTCCTCTGTCCTTGTCCCAGGCACTTTGTCCTGCTGCTCTGAGTTCACAGCAGTGAGGGAAGGAGGGGCGGGGTAGGGTGTTGGTAGTTGTTTGTGACTGAGACTCTGTCCCAGTAGGGAAGTGGCTTTGAGGAAACCGATGCTTCCTGCCTGGCCCTCAGTGGCTTGGAGAACTGGGAGGAGACCAGAGGCAAGAAGCTCTCAGACCTCTGTCCTTTAGCCAGAACCCCGGACCCAGCTTCAGCCCTGAAGCTTGCCTTGGTCTAGTTTGGGGTTTCTGAAGGGGAATCCTCACACTGTAACTCCACCCACACCCTTAACCCTTCAACACCCAAACCCTATTCAAAGCTTAAGCCTGAATCGCAGTGCTTATGCCTTTGTGCCTGGGTGGCCATCAGTTAGAGTGGGTTGGAGACCCACAGGTGGGACCTTGGGGAGCACAGTAAGCTGAAGACACATGGCAGGGCTGCAGGCCAAGGAAGTTAAGTGGAGGGAGTGGGTGTGGACAGTCACTCCATGGTCCATTTCCCTAGAGACAGATGGGGCTGGTGATGGGAAGATGGAAGGACTGAGAACCTCCGGGACAAGCTGGGAGATTCCCACAGTGTGTTTAATTCAGCTCAGAGATAGTGAAATTGAACAGATTCTTTAACCCTGCAAGTCAGTTTCCTCATCCTTAAAATGGAAATACTAATACAGTAGTAGATCCTACCTTGGGCTGGAGTAATAATAGAATGAGAGAAACACTCAGCATTTGCAGTGCCTGCACGTTGTAAGTGAAGGGTTAGCCCACATTAACAGTTTATATATCCTATCACTGAACCCATTTCAGCATCCTCAGTAGGGCTATTTTTCAGGTCCTGAAAAGGATGGTGGAGTAAAAGACCTTTCTAGTCTTGAGAGCCTGTGCCTGTAGCAGACAGGCTCTGTAGCTTCCCAGCCTGCCATGTCAGCCAGCCCCTCCCACTGGCTGAGAGGCTGCTGTCCCCTCTCAGAGCCCAGCTCCTGTTTACAGGTCTCTTCCTTCCAAATCTGGAATCTCAGCCATTTCCTGGAGTTGTTCCCGGAAGGCCAAGGCCAGTCTCTGGAGTTCAGGGGAAGAGCGTCCAGCCTTTGTTCTCAATTGTTGTGGCCAGCTTCTCAGTGGGGCTCCTAAACCAGCAGACTCCCCCACCTTCCTTGCCCTCTCCAGCCAGGACTCAGGGCCAGCCACAGCCCAAGCAGCCTACCAAGGGGAAAGCCTCCCTCTCCTCCTCTTCACCTCCTGAACTGAGACCAAGATCTAAGATTAAGAAAGAATCGGGGCAAGAGAACCCAATGGTCTCTACAAACCGAGGGGTTCCCTGAGATAAAGAATAGATGGAGTAAATGTGACAGAGGGACAGAGTTGGAAGGATAGGGATTGGGCTTAGAGAATAGAATGTGGGATCTCAGAGGGGGAAGCTTTAAGGGTGGTGACCAAGTCAGTGGCTTGAGTGTTGGTCTATTATGGCTGGCTGAGTAGACCAGGGCTCATAGGGCCGAGGATTTGTGGGTCCAGATCAATGGGAGGATATTCATATGGACACTGAACTGAGCCAAGAAGAGACAGGAAGGGATGTGATGGGGCAGGTGTATTTACTTGTACCCATGGTCAAGTTGAGATTTCCCAGGTATGCAAACCCCAGAAATGGCTGAGCAACTCACCACCCCCTAAGAATGCTTCTATGAACACTCCTCCTTTAATCTCTCTTGATTCTACATTGCATATGGGGAGACTAACTAAATTCTCTGTCCATGTTTTAATGCCAATTTGATTTTATTGAAGTATCTACAATCCAGAGACATGGTATAGTTTCTTTGGTGGTGGGGGGAGAAAGCAAGTCTCAAAGGAATTCAGATCCATCAGTAGCACTGTCCTGAGTTGAGTGATAATGGAGATAGTGAAGAGGGGTGCTAGTGTCATACTACAGAGATGGAGCCCTAGGGGCTGACAGTTGAAGAGTGGCCCCTGCCCCAAGGCCAAGTGCCCCACACCTGAAGATCACAGCTTCTCCCCACTCCCAGACTCTGATGAGCCACAAGGGAAGAACTAAAGGGAATTGGAAGGTTGAGTCACTCTGAGCAGTCCCAATAGGGCATTTGGTCTCTTTTTTCTCACTCAGTCCATGTATCCAGGGAACACGAGTTGATGGTCAATGGGTCTTCCCAACAGGGAGATATGTCAGTATGGGTCCCAGGAGTCACAGTGTCATTTCCAGCAAGCTGGCCCATTAGCAGTCTGATTGTCTCATTTCCACACACTAAGGAAGAGCCAACAATCTGAGTCATAGGGATGATGTGAGGGGTGGGAGCTGCCTCCTGCTGTTTTAGAGAAACTGCTCTGGGGCCCTGGTGACGTAGACACCCAGTGACCAGTTTACCCAGTACTTCCTTTACGCCCTAGTTCTAGTGCTTTGTATTTTTTGTGAGCAATTCCTTCTTAGTTGTTTGTGTAAAGAGAAGAGAAGGGCCAGGTGCCCTTCTGAATGACACTGCAAGGGAAATTGCTCTTCACCTCACTCTGACTTCTCTGGCTTCCTGGCTTCCTGTGGCATGTTTTCTGAAGATGCAGCTGGGGCTCCTGCTGCCAAGCTGGCAGAGTAAAAGGGATGAACTCTGATGGGATTGGAAGCCAGTTACACTTCATTTGAGATCTTGTTCCCCCTCTCTCTTCCTGACCAGCACAGCCACCCCCAGCTCCAACCACCCCTAGGTACTCTTTAGAGCCTTGAGACCTTACCCATGTATGTTTTCCTGTTTCTTTTCCTTCTTCTTTGCTTGAGTCAAGTTGGTCTCAATGTCTACAAATTCTCATTTTTGTTCCAAGAAGCCAATAGCTGGAAGAAAATGGAGTCAAGTGAGAACAGAGCAATGACCTGGTTTTATACTGGCTGGAGAAATTGCCCTTGTTACTGGTTGGTGGGTCTCAGGGAAATTCTGTACAGGTTCCCGGTGTCCTGAATAAAGAATTGGACAAGACTCACGGAGAAGGTAGAAGAATGTCCATTTATCGAGCTGGAAAAGCAGTATGCTCTAAGGAGTGCAAGAGGGCCAGTGAACAGACTCACAACAGTCATGAGGATAAGGGAAAGTGTCTCATATCTGTAATTCTTAGATTGGTTTCTCTCTGATGCAAATAAAGCATTTGGGATGGTTATCCTACCAAAAAACTCACTTGGCCTTGGGACCAGATTTAAACTGTCCTATCAAAGACTTTCTTGGTTTCATGTCAGAGGTAAATGAAGAATTGAAAGAGCACTTTTCTGATTGGCTCAGTATACAGTACTTGGAAAGTATGTCCTCCTGGATTCTGTTTTCTGCACATGTGCCCTGGGTCTCATGACTTTGACAGATTATAGCCAGTTTTTTGACCAGTTTGGCCCCAGCTCTAATCTCCTACCTCATTTCTTCCTGAGAGACATAATCTGCATAATCTTTTCTGGGATCCTGAGGGAGCAGAGGTCTCTTTCTTCATATAGCTGCTTTCTGCTGAAAGAGGCTGTAGGTCCTACCTACGGGGGATTATGTGCTCTCTGACTATCTTGGGATGTTGGAGCATACCATTTGGGCTGGGAAGAACCTGTTAGAAGACAATGAGAAAAGAGTTAGTGCCTATGTGTCAGGGATTGTTGGGCTGCCTGTACCCCAGAGAAAGCACAGTGAATTTGTCAGGAGGATCATGAGCTGTAGTCTGGATCATCATCTGAAGGTGGATCTTTTGAAGCCTTAAATGGACAAATTTTACTATTAGGTTGAGGGGGCAGAGGCCAAATATGAGAAGCAGCAGGTCAGACTGTTTCCTGTTTGTCTTAAAAGATGGACCATGACAGATCCAGCAATTAGAGACATTATTTTTCCATGCTTTTATTTAGGAGATGTTTGCTAAGCAATTTTCTTTTCATGCTTCCTGTGGAGAGGAAAGCATAGTGAATAGGGATATTAGATAAACTACCAGGAGCCTGAGAGCCATAGCCCCAGCAAAATTGCCCATATTATGAATCTAATTAAAAGCAAGAGTCCTAAGACAGGTGCCCATTTAAGGTGTCATTAGTGACTACTTATCTGCACCCAGAGCAGTATTGCAGTCTTGCATTTTGAAGAGGAGCCTTGGATCTGTTAGAGGTCCACAGGAGTACCTTTCTTCTTTTGGGTGGTTCTTTCCCTCAGATAGTTCAGGTGGGGCTGTCTTTATCCTAGAATCAGCTATCTTTCTCTGCCACCTTTACTACAGTGGGTGCAACAGAGATCACTGAAAAGGGGCCCGTACATCTTGGTTTTAATTGATATATAGGAGTCCCTGTTTTCCAAGTTTTAATGAGCACTTGGTTTCCAGGGTGGACACTATATGGTCAGGAACTGGCAGGAGTTTGTTCCCGTAGAGTTGGATAGCTTGTACTTGGCCCAGATTAGTAAGATACTGTAAGATTCTTGTGCCCTCTGGGCCTACTACCATATCCAAAAAGAGGAAAGTTCTCCAAAATAGGATCTCAAGTGGGCTCATATTTAGCCTAGTTTGGGATGTATTTTGAATCTTCAAAAAGGCTACTGGCAATAATCAGAGCCAAGACTCAGAAGTCTCTTGGAAAAGCTTTGCTAGAGCTTTCTTTATGGTCTGGTTGACTCTTTTACCCTTTCCAGATGACTAAGGTCTCCATGCAGAATGAAAATGGTACTTTATTTCTAAAGTCTTTGCCACCCCCTGAGTTATTTGAGAGGTTAAAAAAAAAAGGACCATTCTCACTCTGGAGGGACTGGGGTGACCCAAACCAGGTAATGGTTTTGTTTTGGTTTTTTTATGGTACTGGGGATCGAACTCCGGTCCTTGTGCTTGCAAGGCAGGTGGTAGAAGCACTGGGCTAAATCCCCAGCCCCCAGGTAATGGTTTTGAGGCACACCTTTGAGGTGCACCTTTGAGGAGCACCTTGACTACTTCTGTAGTCTTTTCTGTACGGGGAGAGAGAACCTCAATCCAGTCTACATAATGTTGTCAATTTGGACCAATATTTGTTTAAATCACCCACATGGTGGCATACAATTGCCAGTCTTTTTTTATGTCCTTCTCCTCTGTACAGGTTCTAACAAAGGAAGTGATCTGAGCTTGCCAGCATTATAGGCACAGCATGGACAAGCTTTGCTGACCTGTCAGGTGGTTGCCACTAGTTCCAGTTCTGTGAAAATTCAAGTGACTATTTCACATGAAACATCTCTTCCCATGTGGAAAAAATACTG